ACTCACCTCAGCCTCCCAAAGGCGCAGGATTACAGGCTGAGCCACCAAGCCCGGCTCACAGCATTTCTTAGTTACCTTCCTATGCCTTAACTTGGCAGTCTTGGGCCTCCACAGCTGCCTGCCTTCCCAGCTGCTCACTCACGCCTCTACTCTCTACTTTTCATTATGCTCCTTCTGCCCAGAGCCCTCCTCTTATCCTGGTAAATCAAAACACACCTTCTTCCTATAGCTCAAGGATATGGGGTCTTGGGAAACACAGAGAGGCTAAGACTGTACCCTACCAAGGCAAGGAGCACCTTGTAGAAAGAAAGCAGAAACTCCTTATAGACTGATTGACCAGACTTGCCCACTGTCCTTGACCCCACCAAGAGAGCAGCAACCCTCACACAGCAGCATCTCATACTTGTCATGTGAGAGAACTTTCCAAAAAGGCCAGAGGGGGAAACTTGCAATCTTACTTGGAGGAGCCAAGTCTGTATCTCGCAGATCCTGCAAAAAGACACCCACATCCACAGTTCGGCGGGTGGGAGGTTTGCGGGCCAGACCAGGCCTCCGCACTGACTGTGGCTGAAGAGGTGTAGCAAAGGTCAAGTTGAGGGAGCTGGTGAGAGGGAGGAGGCAAAAAGGAAAGTCACTTACCTGAGACCAGTTTTCCCAGAGGATTTTCCCATCTAGAATGTAGCCGACATGTTGAGGCTAAAACTGGCAGGGAATAGCATGGCCAGATTTCATCCCAATTAGTGCCTCCCTCCCCAAGCGTCTCCTGTACAACCCCCAAAAGAGGAAACAGCACCTGGTGAGGGAAGAGGCATCAGCATTCCCACGAGGCTCTGTCAGTTACCAGCAAGAGAAGTAAAAAGAAACCATGGTAAGAGATCCAGGCCTGTGAGACTCCTCTCTCAGCCCTCCTCAGCCTCTCCAGGTGATGTCCAGAGCCTCACCGTGGGAGACAAGCAGCCCTTGGTCCACTTCCTGCTGAAACACTGACAATCTCAGCCTCTGCTTCTTCCTGCCAGGGGCCAGCAGACCTGGAGCCAGGGTTGTAGGGGGCTCAAGCTCAGGAAGTTGCAGCTCCAGGCTATAAGAACAGAGCTTATCTCAGGCCAGAGAAGCCCAATTCTGGTTTGGGAGCCCCCAAGAAGCTCCCTGACCAGAACTAACAGTTGGAGAGTTCTCTATGCACCTGCCCTGACTGCTTTTCCGTCTGGAGGACTGGACCACCTGCGGTGCTGGCGCTGGCCTCACCACTGACTCTGGCATGAGAATGGAAGATTCCGGGGCTACAGAAACACCAAGGAGAGAATAGGGCTAACAAAACAGGATACACTGAAAGGGATACCCCAGGACTGGTTTTTGTACTGGTGCCTAACTCTGACCAGCAGGCTAGCGCTCACTTACCAGTTAACAGAATGTTCTTCAGCAAAGTCCGAGGTGTCTGTTTCTCCAGGTGCCCACTGGTTTGAACATGGGCCAATCTGCCAATAGACTATAGGTAAAAGCACCAAGCAACTAGTCTGTTCATTTGCCTTGAGAGTTCCTCAAGGTGGATTCCAGAGCAGAAATAAACCTCAGGACCCCTGAAGGCAGCCATGGCCCCATAGTGGGATGGGCACTTACCTTGGCTCCATAGGACCATTGTCTGGTAGTTGTCTTTGTTTGGCTTCTCAGTCTCCTGGGGGAGGGTGTTTCAAGCAGGGTTTTTTGGGCACTGTATAAAGACCAAAGACCAGCTGCTCTGAGAATTATGTGTCAGGGATGGGGGTGTGTAGGGAGAGGTAGGTATAGGATGCAAAGACATGTCTTCATCAGGGGTCTTTCTCTGAAGCTCTTTTTCTTCAGGGCCAGGGACTCAGAAACAACTTGCCCCTCCCATAGCCTCCATTCCCAGATCTATGTCAAGAGGGATGTGGATGAAGAGGACCCCTGGGGTATGGGAAGAAAGGGGAAATATGACTGAATCAGCCAGCGAAAGGAGCTGAGAAAGACTTCACAGAGGTGGCTTTAGCAGAATCTTTTTTTTTCTTTTTGAGTAGGAGTCTCACTCTGTCACCCAGGCTGGGGCCCAGTGGCACACTCACAGCCATTGCAGCCTCTACCTGCTGGGCTCAGGTGATCCTTCTGCCTCAGCCTTCCAAGTAGCTGGAACTACAGGTATGCACCACTACACCCAGCTGATTTTTTTATTTATTGTAGAGATAAGGTCTCATAAGTTGCCCAGGCTGGTCTCAAACCCCTGGCAATCCTCTCACCTCTGCCTCCCAAAGAGCTGGAATTAAAGGTGTGAGCCACCATGTCGCCCTCTAAGTATTTTTAAATACTTCTCAGGGTCTAACAGCACCCTCCATACGAGTTACCCCAGCCCTAGTTTCTTCAGTCCAATCCCTCTCCGGTTTCAGAGTAACATAAACATTCCCAGGGCACAGCTCCCACCTCATCATCCATAGGTCTAAAACCTATAATAAATGGCTTCCCATTCTCTATAACACAATGGCACTATCCAAGTCTGGCAGATGTCAACTTCTGCATCCTTTGCACCATGAGCTCACCACAGCCCTTAGCCCACAACTCTCGCACCAAGTCAGGCCAAATTCCCTGCTCCCTAGCAAAGCATCTTCCAGTTACTGTCCCCACCCCCCACCCCCGGTGCTTTCTGCCCAGGCTGTGCTCTCTAGCTCCATTCCGAAGTCCTAGCTGAGAGTTACAGACCTTAAGACTGAATGTGCGCGATGGTGGGGATTCTGAGCGCTTATGGAGGCCAACCCCCAAAGACTCGGACTCAGTCAGACACTGTGGCCCAGAGGCCCGGCTGCCTGGAAGCCCGGGGCTGGAGTACAAACAGGTAGCCGGAGCCCAGCTGGGCAGTGGAGCCAGTACTCAGAGCCTCCTCTCTGAGACTTCCTTCTTGAAACAGGATCGGCGCTGAATCCCACCCAGAACCCACTCCCCCAGTCCCTCTAGCTGCTCGTGTACTCCAGCAGTGCCCTCACATACCCTGCACCGGTACGGTGGGGTCGCCGTGGGGTGCGCGGGTCCGCTGTATCCAGCAGGCGCCGCAGCAGCGTGCGCGGCGTAGGCTCGCTGTCTGGGCAGGGATCCGCCATCGCCTCAGCAGCTGGTCCTCGCAACCGCCCAGCCAGCAACAGAGGCCGCGTTCCCGCCGTCACGTTTAAGGTAACTCTCGCGATGCTGCCGCACAACCTCACGGGAGTTGTAGTTCTCTCCCTGTCGCTGTTTGCAGCGTGGACTAGAGTGGATGCAAACTCCAGCTGTTTTGAAGGCACCCACACTGGGGTTGAGCCTGGGCAAACTTTTGCCGCCAGTCCAGGTCTTGGTTTCCTCATCTGTAAATTGAGGGTATACACACCTAATTAAGTGGCTTGTAATGCTTCAAGGAGTTAAGTTGCAGTTAATATTATTAGAATGCCTCTCATTGCCACATCCCTCCCCAAAGATGAGAAGATACACTTGGGCCAGGAAAAATAGTTTTATCTGGGCGGGGAGCGGTGGCTCACGCCTGTAATCCCAATACTTTGGGAGGCCGAGGCGGCAGGATCACTTGAGCCCAGGAATTTGAGACTAGCCTGGGATATGTAGAGACCTCCGGTCTACAAAAAATTAAAATAATTAGCCAGGCATGGTGGCATGCGCCTATAGTTCTATACTTGGGAGGTTGAGGAGGAAGGATGACCTGAGCTCAGAAGTTCGAAGCTGTGATGAGGCGTGATCTTGCCACTGCACTCCAGCCTGGATGACAGAGTAAGCCCCCAACTCAAAAATAAAAAATTTAGGCTGAGTGCGGTGGCTCACGCCTATAACACCAGCACTTTGGGATGGTGAGAGGATTACCTGAGTTCACGGGTGCGACACCAGCCTGGGCAACTTGACAAGCTCTCATCTCTACAATAAAACAAAAAATAAGCTGGGCGTGGTAGTGCGTGCCTGCAGTTCCAGCTATGCGCAAGGCTGAGGTGGAAGGAACACCTGAGTCCAGCAGGTGAAGGCTGCAGTGGCTGAGAGCGGTCCACTGCACTCCAGCCTGGGACTCCAGAGTGAGACTCCGACTCAAAATAAATACATAAATAAATTAATTAATTAACTAATTAAAAAGAATTTTAGCCGGGCTCAGTGGCTCAGCCTGTAATCCCGCGCCTTTGGGAGGCTGAGGTGAGTGGATTGCCTCAGCTTGCGGGTTCGAGACCCGCCTGGTCAGCGAGACCTCATCTCCACAATAAAATCAAAAAATTAGCCAGGCTTGGTAGCGCACACCTGTAATTCCGGCTACTCGGAAGGCTGAGGCGGAAGGATCGCCAGAGCCCAGCTGGGCGAGGCTGTGGTGGCCGGGAGCGGCCACTGCATTGCAGTCTGGGCGACAGAGTGAGACTCCAACTCAAAAAAAAAAAAAAAGAATTTTAAGCCGAGCTCAGTGGCGCAGCCTGTAATCCCAGCACTTTGGGAGGCTGAGGTGAGTGGATTGCCTGAGCCCCCAGGTTCGAGAGCCGCCTGGGCAACTTGGCGAGACCTCATCTCTACAATAAATCAAAAATCAGCCAGGCGTGGTAGCGCGCACCTGTAGTTCCAGCTACTTGGAAGGCTGAGGCAGAAGGATCGCCGGAGCCCAGCAGGTCGAGGCTACGGTGGCCGGGAGAGGCCACTGCACTCCAGTCTGGGTGACAGAGTGAGACTCCAACTCAAAAAAAAAAAAAGAATTTTATGCTGGGCACATGGCTCATGCCTATAATCCCAGCATTTTGGGAGGCCGAGGAGAGAGGATTGCCAGAGGCCTAGTGGTCTGAGATAAACCCAGGCAACCTGGCAAGTCTTGTCTCTATAAAAAAAAATTTAAAAAGTAGGCAGGCGTAGTGGCACGTGCCTGTAATGCTAGCTACTTGGAAGGCTGATAGAAGGATCACCTGAGCCCGGTAAGTTGAGGCTGCGGTGGTCATGAGCATGCCACTGTACTCTTGACTAGGAAGCAGAGTGAGACTTCAACTCAAAAAAAAAAATTTTTTTTTATTTTATATGTGACCTAGTCAGATCTGCATTTGCAGAGATGACTCTGTAGAGTCTATATCTATCAGAAGAGATCAGGTTGCAGGGGTCAAGGTTAGTAGGCCGTGATCCAGCACAGATGTTATGATTTCCAAACATGAGCCACTTTGAGATGAATTCCAGCTCTCAGAAATTGTTTTTGTTTGTTTGTTTTGCTTTTTGAGTTGGAGTCTCACTCTGTCACCCAGGCTGGAGGGCAGTGGCAGGCTCATGGCAACTGTAACCTTGACCTACTGGGTTCAGGCGATCTTTCCACCTCTGCCTTCCAAGTAGCTGGAATCACAGGCATGTGCCACCACGTCTGGCTAATTTTTTTTTTTGACTTATTGTAGAGACAAGGTCTTGCCAAGTTGTCCAGGCTGGTCTCAAACCCCTGAGCTCAGACAGTCCTCTCACCTCGGCCTCACAAAGTGCTGGGATTACAGGCATAAGCCACCGCACCTGGCTAGTTCTGTTATTGCTGGAGGTGATTACCAAATTGCTAGTGCTTTCCATATTTTTCACCAATTGACAGTCCTCTCACCTTTCTTAAGTGTTCATGGCAACTTAATTAAAACTTGGTTTCTGAGTTTTCCGTGGAGTTCTTTTCCTAACCTGGCCTTGGATAAGGTGTAAAGTATTTGATACTTGAGACAGATAGTCATGGACATATTTGTGCTTGCTTTAAAAAATGGAGTAAGACCCGCCTGGGCAACTTAGCGAGACCTCATCTCTACAATAAATCCAAAAATTCAGCCGGGCATGGTAGCGCGCCCCTCTAGTTCCGGCTACTTGTAAGGGTGAGACAGAAGGATCATCGGAGCCCAGTGGGTCGAGGTTGAGGTGACCGGGAGCGGCCACTGCACTCCAGTCTGGGCGACAGAGTGAGACTCCAACTCAAAAATAACTAACTAACTAAATAAATAAAAATAAATAAGTAAATAAAATAAATAAAAATTTAAAATGGCCGGGCTTGGTGGCTCAGCCTGTAATCCCTCGCCTTTGGGAGGCTGAGGTGAGTGGATTGCCTGAGCCTGCAGGTTCGAGACCCGCCTGGGCAGCGAGACCTCATCTCTACAATAAATCAAAAAAATCAGCCGGGCATGGTAGCGCATGCCTGTAATTCTGGCTACTTGAAAGGCGGAGGTGGAAGGATCGCCGGAGCCCAGCAGGTCGAGACTGCAGTGGCCGGGAGCGGCCACTGCACTCCATTCTGGGCGACAGAGTGAGACTCCAACTAAAAAAATAAAAAAAATAAAAAAAATTTTAAATGGAGCAAGGCTGGGAGCAGTGGCTCACGCCTATAGTCTCAGCACTTTGGGAGACTGAGGTGAGAGGATTGTCTGAGCTCATGGGCTCACGGGTTTGCAACCAGCCTGGACAACCTGGCAAGACCTCATTTCTACAATAAATCAAAAAATTAACCAGGAGGGGTAGCGCATGCCTGTAGTTCCAGCTACTTGGAAGGTTGAGGCAGAAGGATCACCTGAGCCCAGCAGATCATGGCTATGGTGGCTGTGGGCATGCCACTGTACTCCACCTGGGCAATAGAATGAAACTCCAACTCAAAAAAAAAAAAAAAAAAAAGGACCAAAGAATAAATTAGGTTTGTGCTTCGCAAAATAAGAGAACCATAGAGCCTGGCTCGGTGGCTCAGCCTGCAATCCCAGTGCTTTGGGAGACTGAGGTGAGTGGATTGCCTGAGCCCGTGGGTTCGAGACCCGCCCGGGCCACTTGGCAAGACCTCATCTCTAAAATAAATCAAAAAAATCAGCCGGGCGTGGTAGTGCATACCTATAGTTCCAGCTACTTGGAAGGCTGAGGCGGAAGGATGGCAGGAGCCCAGCAGGTCGAGGCTGCTGTACTCCAGTCTGGGCGACAGAGTGAGACTCCAACTCAAAAAAAAAAATATAATAATAATTAGGAGAAAGGAATGAAAAAGGACCCCCCCCCCCAAAAAAAAAGCGGGAGAAAAGGGAGAACTCAACAAAGGAGAGATAGTTTGCAGGTAATTGTCCTGGACAACTGCCTGACTCCTCCTGGTTTTCCACAACCTCTCCATCCTGGGCGACAGAGACCCCTACTAAAAAAATAATAAAATAAAAAAGACAAGGGAGAGGGGAGGTGTCGTATTACAATGCAAATCGCTTCGCTTAAAGCCCTTTAATAGCTCCCAGTCGCCTTCAGAATAAAATCCTAAATCCTTTAACATGCTCCAGTTTGGTATCTTTCGGTGCTTAGGCTATCCTGGCCACCTCCTTCCAGGCTTTTTGAGGGCCGAGTCTAGCTGTTTGCCTCGGGGCCTTATAGGCAGGTTCCTGGGACAAGAACTGGCTACTCCTTAACCAAGCTTTTTGTCGTTTTTTATTCTTGGCCTTCTGTCCCCCCATTTTCTCGTCTGTCCTGTTCATTCCTTTGGTGAGTTTATTTCTGTGGCTAGACATCCATTCGCGTGCATTAACATCTGTTATCTAAAAGACAGATGCTCATCCCTCTAGTCAGTCAGACTCCAGGAGGGAGGGGCCAGGTCGGCCCGGCACAAAGTAGGTACCTACTGATGACTTTAGGTCACTAAGTGAATCAACGCAGGCAGCGACTGAATCCGGAAAGAGTCCCCGACGCAAAAAAAAGGGACTCCTGAGGTCCTTCGGGGCGTCGAGGCCCAGGTTTCCTCTCCCTCTGCGGTTATGCCGTCGACTCAAAAGTTTATAGGCTGGGGCACCGCTTCTGACACAACAGCACAATCTCGCCCGAATCCTGCTCCGCTGTAACCCGACCTCTCCCTTAGGTGGCGCTTAGGGCCGCAGCCGCCAAGTTCAGCGTGAGGCATCACGGGACTTGTAGTCTCCGTGGGCACACAGCGCTTGCGCATTGGTGAGGCGCGCACCGAGACCGCCCCGCCCCCACCCCACCTCTATCAAGATTCTGGTTCCTCGTGAGGGGAAGACCAGGCAACAGCGTTCCAGCCGCCGAATACACGTTTCTTGCCCGCCAGGAACGAGCCGAGTTGGGGTAAGAATCTGCTCTTCGGGAGCTGTCGCAGGACCCAGGAAAGCGACCGGGATAAGCATACCCCGCACCGGAAGTGAGCGGCTTCTGGCGCGGTGCATTGTGGGGGGCGTAGTCCTCTTACCCAGGCGGTCCTTCGCGGCGTCCCCGGGCCGACTCCG